CGTCGGGTACAGCACGGCGAGTCGCCTAATGGCTTCGGTCTTAAATCTAGGGGCGCATGGCGCCGCATTGCGCGCGGGAAGCGCCTTTCACACCTCGGCCGGAAGGAAGGCCCTGCCTCTGTGTGTGTGTGTGTGTGTGTGTGTGTGTGTGTGTGTGTGTGTGTGTGTGTGTGTGTGTGTGTGTGAGTGCCCATGTGTGAGTGTGCGAGCGCCCGTGCGCGCAGCAAGGTGGGTCTTGCGCCACGCTACGCGCTACGCCTCGTGGTTTATTTGCCCCTGCCTACGGCTACTGCGCGGCCGCGCGGCTAGGCGGCTACGCCAATGCCGCTAATTAGCCCTCTATTACTTAACAATTAAGTGGCGAGATAACGTCCGCGCCCTCCCCGACGCGGCCGGGACCGCGGCCAGGACGACGGCGGCGGGGAGCGGCGAGCCAGCAGCAGCAGCACCGCGTCGGCGGCGAAGATATGACAGCCTTTGGAAATAATGTTTCATAAAGTCACGACCTCGTTCCGGACGCTTTTTTTTTTTTTTTTTGCCCTCCTCGCTCCTTGTCTTCATCTCCCCGAAGGCCGGGCGGGCGGCGTCGTCGTCCTCGCGGCACTTTGGGGCTACTTTGGGTAAGAATAGCCCGCCCTGGCGGTGCACTGGCGGTGCCATGGGCGTCAATGGCGCGGCGAGGAACGCGGCCCTGGAGAGACCCTGGCCGGGGTCACTGCAGGTATGCACCATTATTGCGCTTATACAGTGCAGGTGCATGCCCTCCATGGTGGGTGCCCCTCCGGGCCTCCACTCTCCTCCAGCACCCCGACAACAACGCCGAGAAGGACCACCGCATTCTGGGTCACCGATCTCGTGGACAGCCGTCAGGGCGTCACAGCCAGCAGCGCCAATCGCCCGGCCATCCAACCCCCACCCACCGAAAAAACAGCAAAAAGCAAGAGGAGAACAAGAACACTGTAAAAGAGTTGACCGGGCTGCCGAGCACACTGTGCATCGCAGTGGCGTGGCGTCGCACCCACGCCGGCCCACGCACCTGCCGCGTTGTTTGGACGTCCCGGACACCGCCTGCGGCTGCGGCTCGGCCTGCGGCTCGGCCTGCGGGCCCTGCACGCTGCAGCACCCCGCAGGCATATTCCGAGTCGCCCCATCTCTCTCGCCCACATGGGGCATCCCGTAAGAGAGCGAGAGAGACAGAGCGACGGAATGAACCTGTTGGCCGGCCAGCCTCAGCAGGCCAGCCGTAGGCGAGGGCCGGCCCGGGGCGGAAGGATTCGTCAACACATTCCCCCGCGTGTTTATGTACCCACGCCCCCTGGACGCCGTGGCCACGACGCGGGCCCATATTAGTCCAACAACATCCGACGAGAGAGACAGACGAGGTGTGTTCCGATGTTGACGCACCGGCGATATTTGGAGTCCTCGACCGGCCACGGTTGCCCCGCACACTGATTCTGAGCGTCGTTTTGGTCGCTCTGTCTCTGTCGCACTCATGCGGCGAGAAAGCGAGAAAGACAACGGCGGGCAGTCCGAGCCACGGCAAAACACGACCCGGCACGGCCACCGGAGACAAGTCGGGAGTCAGCGCACCCCTCGTCGTCGTCCTGGTCGTCCAGCTTCATGCCTGCCTCTGTTGTCCCGCCGCGTCGCAACACGCGAGTGACACTCAAAAGGCGCGGATAACGGTCTGCAGGGCCCAAGGACGGGACGTCACGCCGCGTACATTCATTTCGATCCGCGGATTAAAATTTCCGAAAAAGTGAGCGGAATAAGGCAGGGCGGCCATGCCGCAACCGCGCCGTGCCGAGCACAGTGTGCCGAGCCGGGTCGGGCCTCGCCTCGCCGTGCCTCGCCTCTCGACCTGACTAGCCAAGACGAATTACGGCGAGGAAAGGCACTTTTACAACACCATTACACACAAAGTCCGGAAGAGAGAAGGTCGCTTGTATAAAAAGGAACAAATTGTGTTGAGTCATTTGCAGGCCCGGCTCGGCCTGACCCTCTATTTCGACCCGACAAAGGTTGCCCCCGCCTTTTGCCGGCCGCCTCAAATTGGGCCACGGCGCGCGGGGACGGCGGGGACGGCGGGGACCTGAGAGGGGAGGGGAAGGGGGACCGCCATCAGCCTGACCTGAGGGACCTGGGGGCCGGGGCATGCCGGTGGCCATGCCGGGGCCCCGAAAGGTCGCAGGCAGGGGTCGGCGAGCAGGCCGAGCAGGCCGTGACCCCTGCCGGCCTCACCGCCATTCCGCCTGTCGCGTCGCCTGTCCACGGCGTCCACGGCGTCCACGGCAGCGAGCCGCCAAATCTCGATCGTCACAGTCCGGGAGCGACGCAGCGACACGCCGACACCAGGATGATGACGCCTGTCCCCGGCACCTCCCCGCCGTGCCTCCCGCCATCCGGTGCGGCCAGGCAGGCTGCACAGTGTGCCTGCACGCTGCACCTCGCTGCACGCCCATTGAGCCACACGTCGGGGGGTTATGATATGCAGCGGGGCTTTTGAGGAATGATGCGCCAAGCGCCCCAGCCGCGCGGCCAAGGCCCCATCCCATCCGCCCCGACGGGCAGAAGCCCAAGGCCGTGTGAAAATTAGCCGTGACCAATCCCATTCCTTTTCCCCCCGAGACGCCACCGCGCCACCGTGAGGCACTGCAGCGGCGGGCGCAGGGCTCAGCGCCTCGCAGCGCCTCGCAGCGGGCACCAGAGAACCGCGGGAACAGCGCGCAGCGCATCAGGAGCACGTCAAACAAGTCATCAATCAAGCGCAACATGCGTCTGCCCGTTTGCCCCCGCCGCCCGGCCCGGCCGGCCCCGGCGCACCTCCACGACGGCGACCTGGTGCGGGTGTCCGGCCCGGGGCACTGCTTGTTGGCGACCGCGTCCACGGCCGCATAACGCGGCGCGTAATCGCAGCCAGCACGTCATATCGCGGCGGTACAGTGTACGCACCGCCAGCCACCACGCCGCCAAGCAGTACGACGCTGAATATGCAGGGCACCGCCACGCCGCCACGCCACGCGGTGAAGAGCACGCCGTTCGCGGAATGGTTGGAGGGGCGCGCGCGGAGCAGGAGGGCACAACACCCTCTCTCCCTCTCTCTCTATCCCACGCACGCACGCACGCACGCGGCCGCGTCGATCGGGCCGGCAAACACTCCGACAAGTGAGCTGGAACCGTTCGCGTCGAATGCGCGTTCGGTGCATTCAAATTCCGACGGCGGCGCGGCGGCGGCGCGGGGATCGGTTCTTGTTATTCATGGCGTGGGCCGGCCGGGCTGACGTCTGGCCCTGCACCTGTTGAACTTCGGCCCCGGTCAAGGCGAAGGCGCGCCGGGGCGGGGCGGGGAGGGGCGGCCCGAAAAACTCACAGCATTCCATGACGTCCAGCACGCCGTGCTTGTCCTGGTCAATCTTCCGCGCGGGACAGCTGCACCCGCCTGCACCTTGCAGCGTGTCATCCGCCCCGCCCCGCCCCGCCCCGCCCCGCCCCGACACCACACGCGATCCGCGCGCACACGCACAGCGCCGCACTGCGCGGTGGGGGGATCGGCTAATGAGTGCGGGGGTAATGCTGCGAAGTTGCAGAATTATGGCGCAAATCAGATTTAATTTAATTTCAAATGGGCAGTGAGCAGCACTAATGATGACCAGGCCTACCGGCCGCGGCAGGGGGGCGCGCGGCGCGGCGCGGCCGGCCGGCCACATATCGTACGAACACACCGAGGCGGAAGGGAGGAAGGGGCAGGGAAGAGGTCGGCGAGGAGGCACACTGTATGAGCTGGCCGCCCCGGCCGCCCCTCTCCCCGCGCCGCGACTACCGTACAAGGCGGACCCGACAAGTTGCCGATCGTTTAGGCGTGGTATACGTTATTGCAACGCGAAAACGCCATACAGCGACCGGCGCAGCGCGCAGCGCATCGCGGCGACGGTCGACCTCACGGGTACCTCACGTCCCGCCGGATCAAAGAGAATCAGGGGAATCAAGAGCGGCAGGAGAATGAAGAATGCTGCCGCCGCGTGCCGCATTCCCCGCGCAGGCCTTGGAGGCCCTATTCTAGGAAGACGCCGTCATTTCGCCGCTATAAAAAGCCCGCGCGATAAATTCCGCCAAAGTGCGCCGCCGCTCAGTCGCTCTGTCTCTGTCGCACTCGCGGGGCGTAGCGTCGGCGTGCGAGAGAGACAGAGCGACGCGAGCCGTTCGGATCGGCCCGCCGGACGCACTCGCTGCGCTCGGCACCGCCTCGGCCTCGGCACGCATGGCCGGCAGCGGGAGCGGGCGTCCCATCGCCATGAATCCATAACTGAACCGCGATTATTTGTACTTTTTTTCGGCGAGTGGCGGGAAAATAAATCAACATTTCCAGCGTGTTTTTCCGGCCGCGTGCGTCATTTTGCACGGGCAGCGCGCGTGCAGCCCGTCACGCTGCAAGGCACGCGCGTGCGTGCGTGGCACGGCCGGTGCAGGGCCAGCACGGCCAGCACGGCCCGGCCGCTGCGCGCGGCATGCGTGTGGCGCACGCCCCACATTTCCACCCCCGCAGGCTGCAGTCGCTCTGTCTCTCTCGCACTCCTGGAGCGCCCCGTAGGGGTGCGAGAGAGACAGAGCGACGGAATCACAGTGTGCCTCGAGGCGGAGGCGAGGGCAGCGAGACAGCGGCGCCGCGGCCACGCCGAGAACCACCCCGAGATGGAGGCCCGCTCCGCGTCCGCGCCGTCGTCGCCGTTGACGCACACCTCCACCTCCACCGGGCGGGGCGGGGCGGGGCGGGGCGGGGCGGCGGCCGCGCCGCGACGCCACGAGGCGCGCTATCACGTTATCATAACGCCGAGGGCAGGGCGCTGCTTCGGCGTGGCCTGACGCTTATCTGACGACCTGGACGGCCCCGCCCGCCCCGCCCCGCCCCGCACGACGTCGCGCGACCGGGGCGCGGCCTTTCCAAAACGCCGCGCTCGACTTTCAGAGGCGGCCCGCCGATAAAATTAAAGTCGAGGACTCACCTGAGTAGCACCACGCCGGCCACACGACGGGGCTGACGGTGTCCAGTTCTCGCATCATGCCCACGCCGACGGCGGAGAACCTCGCACCGGCCGACGACGGCGACTTGCTGATTCTTGGCGGCGACGGCGACGTGTTGGCGACGACGGCGAGGTCAGCGGCGGCCGAGGGTGGCGGTGAGGGGCGGCGTCATGGAGCACAGCACACACACTCACACACTGGCACACGCGGCGGCGGCTCGCGGGCGAACGGCGAACGCGCGCGGTTTTCAGGTCGTTCGTTACCTCTTTTTCACTTATCGCGGCCTGCGGGGCTGGCGGGGCTGGCCAGGTGGGCCGGGCGGCGCGGCTGTCGCTGGGCCTCGGTGGCCGTGCGGGGCGAGGGCGCGGGGCGCGGGCCGGGCGGGGCATTGGTGTGTCCGATAAGCTGGCCCGCGATAAGACCGGGGACGGCTCTGGACGGATCGCAGCACCACAGGGCACGGCACGGCGCGGCGGGGCGCGGCAGGGCACGGCGCACCCCTTTAGAACCTTGAACCTTCACCCGGAGGGCAGGACCTGCCTGGGCGTGTCCTTCGATGATCCTGCAAACAGAAAAACGGCGGGGTGTTAGCGGAACTGCCACTTGGTTGACTTTCACCGCACCTTTCACCCGGGTCACCTCTACCACCTCCTTCGCTGGGTGTACATTTAGAATACAAAACGTCCAAGCGTTTGGATACTTTAGAAAACTAAACCTTTCTCCCCTTTTTTTGCCGATGTCAAGTGCCTGATGAACCCGTTGCGACTGTTGACACAGCGCCGACCACGCGATAGTATCGCTGACACGGCTCTTATCAATCCCACACACCTACACACTGACACGCTCACTCACGAAAAGCCCCCCCCCCCCTCCCACTCCATCCTCTCCCGCGGCCTCTAACGCATTGTTGGCGCGGATAAGCCCGTGTAATTAATTCCGCCAACACGGCCGGCCTTTAGAAAAAAACAACAAAAACAAACGCAGAACAAATAGGGCTGTACTACAGTGTGGGAGTGAATGAGCGCCGCGGATGAGGAAAAACGAGAGGAAAAAAAGGAACACGCACCAGCGATGACTTTAACCAATTATTCAAAACATTTTTTTCCATCGCGTGTTGTTGATGCTTTTTGGCAGTGTAGTTTTGGCCCTGGCCATGCTATGAGCCATGCTGGTGTCATCAATTGCCATTCTGTTCTGCGATGACGCGGGAGGGGAAAGGGGGGGGGAGCTGACACAGCGGTCGGTGCGTGTGTCCACCCGCTGGGCGCGCGAAAACGCCGAAACCGAACTGGGCTAACCAGAAATGAAAAAAACATGCCGGTGTACGCACAGAGTGCGCGCCCCGCCCCGCCCCGCCCCGCCACCTGGCGGCCTCTTATCGCCAATGCCGCGCCTCACCGCGCAATCGCGGCCAGCGGCGTAGCCACGGCCCGGTGGCCATCCGAGTTCAGCGGCGAGGAGAAGAAGAAGAGGGAGAAGAAGAAGACACCCGGGAACTCTGGCCAACAGGCCTGACCTGACGAACGCCGCGAAAGTTTCGGCAGCGATGCATCCGCACACACACACACACACACACACACACACACACACAAACACGCGCGCACACGCACAGACAGGCGCGTTCGGGGCGCCGCCGCCGTCGCCCTGGAGCCTTCTGTACACAGGCCGAAGGTAAACCGGCGGCGTGCGCAGCGTGCGCAGCGCTGAGGGCCTTACACGAGGAAACACACACACAGAGGACTAGGCCAAGACGCGGTCGAGGAATGCAGGGGCCTAAACCCCAAACCGGCGCGCTGTTGCTGCGGCTTCTCGGCGGGGCGGCCGGGCGCGCGGCCGGGCGGCCCGCCGACGCCGAGACCACCGAGACCGAGACCACCGCCGTGACTCACGGGGCCGCGCGACGACGGCCAGCCTGGACGGGGCGGCGCCAAGCCGCCGAGCCACCGGGCCGCCAAGCAGGCGAGGCATGCGAGATAAAAGGAAAACGGGAAAAAAGGCCAAACTTGTGCCGGTGCACTGTGGGTGGGTGGCGAGACGGACACGTGGCCGGGCGGACGGACAGACGGACAGACGGACGGACAGACAGGCGGACAGGCGCGATTTGGCGTGTCACACGGCACGCCCTCCCCGGGGCGAGGCTAGGCGAGGCTAGGCGCGGCGCCTCGCGTGTGCATTGTGCGGTGGGCGCGACGCAACGGAAAACAAGTGCAGTTCCACACGCCGCCAGAGAGCCGCGGCCGCAGGCCAAAACAACAACAACAACATGGAAAAAAGTTCAAGGTCGTGCACCGAGGGTGACAATTTTCGATTTGTTTTCCCGCCAAGTCCGCGCCGAATTTCAGGAGAATCGCCACCGTGGCTAAGCATATCCCATTCCGCGGACCACAGCGCGGCGGCACGGTGGGGAACCCCCTCCCTCCCAGTCCCGGCACCTGTTCGCCTCAATGAAAAGCACCTCCCTGGCGCAGCGACAGCTACCGACGGTACCCTCGATATTTCTGCAGTGGCTCTCAACCAGAGTTTTTGCCCAAATGGCACAGGGTAAACGTTGACACTTTACTTGTTACGCGCGAGTTTCCTGAGTTCGGCGGCGCAGGTCTAGGCGTTGGCGCTGAGGTGTTCGAGGCCGTGGCGGCACAGCGGCGGCTGGCCGCGCACTGCCATGGCAGTGCCGTGGCGGCGAAGGCCCTCATGACAGCGGGTCGGCCGTAAAGCGACACAGACAACGGTCCATTGTGCAGTCCGGTCCGCGGCGTGTCCGCGGCCCCGCGGTGCGAAAAGGGAAGTCGGCGCAGTACGCACCGCGCACCCCCAACAAGGCGGCCTCGCGCCCACCACGCGGCCGCCGAGGACTGCATTTGATTGGGCAACGCTGATCACGCGGCCGGCCTCTTCCACCTGCCACGCAACGCTATACGCGGGTCGTGGACTCCAACCTTTGGGCAGAGTCACTTCAGAAAACGCACTTGGACCCTGGCTGGCCGTGGTCGGCGTGGTGCAGCGCAGGAGGCCGACTCCGTAAAAGGTGGTTATCGCCGCTCCGTCTCTCTCGCACGCCGAAGGAACGCGGCGCGTGTGCGAGAGAGACGCACCGTTTCGGAGCCGGCCCGCGGGATGGCGTGATGCGGACGCGACGAGAGGAACGCGTGGAGGGGCGAGTGCGAGCGCACTGGCCGCCCTGGCCGCCCCGGCCGCCCCGGCCGCCAGTCCAAAAAGCTTCGCAAGCAACCAATCGGCGACGCGATCCCGGTGAGTGGCCAGCGCGCGCATTTTCGACGCGCAGCGCAGCGCCCCCTCCATTCCACATCCGCGACGCGCGAGGAAACGGATCTCGATCTCGAACCCTGATCCCTGTCAGCCGACGACCACTGGACGCGCGGGACGCGCCACCGCCTACAGCCAACAGGTGCCATTCCATTTTCGCACGCCGCTGCCCTTTCACCGCCAACACGCGCGTCGCCGCCCCGGACTCATGGCGGGGTAGGGCGCAGACAGATGGGCGTCTCGCAGAGATAGCCGCCTATCTTTCCCCGCCGGCCCGCCGTAGTACCTCACTGCGAAAACCTCTCCACCTGGGAGGCGAACCAGCGCCCGCCTCTCCGAGTTCCCGAACCGCCAAGACACGACACGCCGACCGCGGTCAGCGCGCGCGGTTTCGATAGTGCCCCGATTCTGGCGTCACGTCACGGACCCCGAATGGCACGACTGTGTGGTGCCCTGAGCGGTGCACGCCGGCCGCGTGCTTGAGGCCGTGCGGTCGGTGGGTTGACCGGGCGACCGCAGCGCAGCGCCCTCCCCTTTGCCGGGCCGGTATCCCCCCAGGGGCCGAACACGCCGGGCGGGCCGGCCGGTGGACACCTGTCGGAACTAGACGCGATTGTCCAAAAACACGGCGAGAGCCTTGCCTGCCTGGCCGGCCTGGCCTTGGCAGCTCGCTACGTAGCGATAACGTCGCCACCTGGACACCCTAGCTCGGAGGCACCCTTCCCCCGCGACGCGCTTCCGGAGAAGCAGGCCGTCGTGCCGGCCGTGCGCCGCGCACTTCGCTTGACCTCCAGGCCGGGGGTGCGCGCCGTGCGAGGACGCTGACCGGAGCCACTGGGCATTCCATTCCCTGCAGGCTCCTCGGAACTAGTTCGACGGCCCCACCCTCCGGACTCCGCGGTGTCCGGAGCGAAGTCGGCCAAGTGCTCGCCGCTCGCCGAGGCGGAGTCCGGTCGGAGTCCGGACGGACGCAGATACGGACGTCCTTGTTCATGGCCGCATTCGGCTCACGTGCCGTGCTTCAGCGGGCTTCGGTTCGGCCGGGTCCATCCTCTCCTCTCCTCGTTTCGTTTCTCGTCCACTTGCCGGCACACTGGCAGCACACTGGTCGGCGGCACCTTTCGCGTCGCAGGCACCGCGCCGAATGTCCCGAAAGCCGCCGCCGAACACGGGTCGCTGATGCCATCTGCTGACAGTGCTCTGATTCCAGCGCATGCACATGCAGGCGGCCAGGCACGACAAGCACACACAGACACGACAGGCACACACACAGACACAGCTTCATGCGGATGCGGCCGTCCAACACGTAAAGTCAGTCCGTTGGCGGGTGAGCGGCGCGGCACGAATGCGCGCACACGCGTCCGATCGAACATCAGATTGACTCGGCGACCCGTCCGAAATAAGTGCAGCCGGAAGCGGCTATCGGCCGTCGCGGGCAGACACCTGCAGTGCCACCTGCAGCCGGGCCGTCGCGGTGCTTGACATTCCCTGCGTCGAGGACCCGGCAAGGACCCGGCAAGGACCCGGCCGGCGCGCGCTCTCCTCTTGATTAGGCCGCACTCAAGGACCTTCTTCACGCCGCGGCGGCGGTCGCCAGCTGCCCGTCATCCTCCTCACCTTCACGTGGACGCAGGCGGCGGCGTCCCGGACGGTCCTCGACACCACGGCGGACAGGTGCAACACGTAATCCAGAGGGAACACACAGTACAACAGGTGGCGAGAGCCTTGCTGGCTCTGCCTCACGCAACACAGATTCTCTTGCAGCACTTCACTGAGTCACTAAACTGGGGGTGGCGAACTGGCCTGGCGAACTGGCGAGGGCACACGCGCGTCTGGCGCGGCGTGGCGCGGCGTGGCGCACAGTCGGACGCTCTGGCGGCGGGCCTCACGACAAGCTCACGGCACAGAGCGATACGCCGGGCGGGCGGCTGGGCACTGAGCGAGCGAGCGAGCGGGGAGCCTCGCTCGCGCCGCGCCGTGCCGCGCTGTCCGCCGGGTCCCGGGTGGGGATTGGGGAAGGGGCGCACGGCGCGGCGGCAGCGGCGGCGCGGCAGCGGCACGGCAGGGCAGGGGGGCAGGCCTCGGGCCCCGGGCACCTCACCTCTCTCGGGTCAGGCCGTCAGGCACACCTCGGCGTCGGGGCAACCTCTCGGCCGGCCGCCGAGCAGCCGGCAGCAGCAGGCACACCTTGCGCTCGCCTCGGCGGCCTCGGCTCGGCTCTGCGCGTGGCTCGGCTCGGCTCGCGGTCGCGCGGCCGCTCCGCTCGGATGCTCTTCGGTCGCCCTACCCGGCGGGTACCTCGGCGAGCGGCAGCAGCGGTGGCGGCAGGGTACCTGTCGTCCGGCCCGCCCCGCCACGCCCCGCCACGCCCCGCCCTGCCCACGCGCGCCGGTGCCCCCGCGGTCATCCGAACTGGACTGGCCACCTGTTCTGCCTGGGCCGGGACGCCGGGACCTCTCGACCCCACGAAGACGAGGCCGACGGGCCGAAGCGCCTCGGGCGGAGCGGCGGAGCAGCGAAGCAGCGAAGCCAGGACGCCGATAACACGACAAAGGAACGACTTCCTCGGAGGCGGAGAGGACCGAACATGAAATATATCTCTGCTCAGCTAACCCGCAAAGTCGTTTCCCATAACCGAAATAAAAGAAATCAAACTCGACGTGGCGGCCGGGCCGGGCGCAGGTCCAGCGGGACTCGATAAAAAGAAGGATCAGGAGACATGAACACATGGATGAAGCAGTGCTGCCTACCTCTCCGGCGGTGCCATCTTGTTTTTATTTGGCGGGAAACGGGGAGTGAAATGGAAAACAACTTGGCCGCCCTTGGACACGTTGACGACGCCGGCACGTCCCTGCCACGTCCCTGCCACGTCCCTGCCGCCACCCGGGCGTCGCTTGGCGTCGCTTGGCGTCGCTTGGCGTCGCTTGGCGTCGCTTGGCGTTGCTAAATCATGGTCACATTTTGCAAGTATAATGCTGGCTTTGCTAGCGGGGCCGGCGGGGCCGGCGGGGCTGCGTGTGCCAACCGATATTCAAGCAAGTCAAAGTGACGCCGGTTCGGCTCTTCGGGTCAACGCGAGCCAATTCATCGGCAGGGCTAATGCAGCCAAATGAAAACGCCCCCCGTAATGAATCGCATCCATTTTAACGAGATGGCGACGAAGCCGGCCCGGATCAAGGCGTCGAGGCGAGGCGCCGCCGCTCAGCAGCCCCGTCGCTCTGTCTCTGTCGCACTCAGGGAGCGCTCCGTGGGGGTGCGAGAGAGACAGAGCGACGAAGCTGTCTTGCGGAATCGCTCCAGATTCGCACGCCTCGCTTTCCACGCCGGAGACAAGCGAGACAAGCGCCCAAAGCAGGCCGGAATAAATATGCACGATACGGCGCGACGGCGCGGCGCTCTCTAGCGTCCGGGTCCCGGGTTCGAGTACCGCCGCGGCCCGGGGTTCCGATCCGCTGCACATAATTTTGAAAAGAGAGCCAGAGCCAGCCTCTCGGGTCACGGGTATAGTGATAGTCGGGTTTCATATATCCGGGTGAGTTGTTTGTGCGAGCGAGGCAACCTGACCCCTCCGCGCGCTGCAAACTGACCACAGCAGTCCGCGATCGCGGCCCCGCCCCGCCGGCCCCTTGGCACTGCTGGATGCTTCATGCCGGAATGGCCCGGCCGGCCTGTGGCGGCCTGTGGCCTGCTCGACCTCATCTGGTCCACACAACTGGTTCAGCTGTCTGGACGGCGAGGCGGGCGTGGCCGGCGTGGCGCTGCGAGTGCATGCCAGCCCAAGGTCTGCCCCGCCACGCCCCGCCCTTACCTTCTACACAGGACATCGAGCCTCCAACTCCGCGGCTGCTCTCCGAGAGGGCGAGGACGCACGCAGGACGCAGACGAGGCCAGGCGAGGCGAGGCGGCAGCGGCGCGCCGGCGAGCGCCTGAGCAACCCCGCATAGGCCACCCGCCTCGGCGACGAGTCCCTGGGCCGGCCTACCCAGCCCCCGCAGGGAGGGGGGAGGGGAGGGGAGGGGAGGGGAGGGGAGGGGAGCTTGCAATCAGGCTGACTGCGGCTTGACACGGCGTACATGGAGCGCGGGGGGCGCACTCAAGGATAGCGCGCACACACACAGACGGGCGCGTGCGCACGCACACACTCACACACGCTCATACCAGATAGAAAGTCCGATTTGAGTCAAAGGGGGGAGACAGCAGGCGCCGCGCCGCACTAGTTGCATCCGTAAGCCGACTCACACACACACACACACGCATTAACGAAACACGCATAATAAATTCCGCAATAAAACGCAAGAGCGTGCGCGCGCGGATGGAGTTGGCATTTATAAAAGGGCTGACGGTGATAAGCGGCATGACAAACTGCGCGATTCGGGAGCGTCAAACACGAGTCTCGCGTACACAGTGTGTACACGCTTTGAGGCGCCCGGCCGCGGGTCCCCGGCGCAGCCATGGCGCAGCCCTTGGTGGACACCGCTCTCCGAGTGAGGGGTGGTCGCTCACCGCGCTGTATAAATAAATCATAGTGCGTCAGCGCGGCCGTGCGGAGAAAGGCGCTCCTGCCTTCGAAACGAACCGTCGTCGTCCAACACCATTTACGTATACTTCGTTCTTCTCGTGTGTTAATTGTGTTTTTGCGCTTCTTCCGTCGGACATTTGAAAAATTTGTTGTAACGTTTGTACCGAGGACCGAGATTCGTGAAAAAAAGTTCGGCGTGGCCGCACAGTTCTCTAGCCGGCCCGCCCCGCCCCGCCTCCCCCGGCCTCCCTTATCAGAGGCGCCGCCACCCTAATTATGTTTGCGCAGCCGGCGCGCGGAACCAGTGGAACACACGGCAAATACGCCACACTGGCGGACACGCGCGGCCGCCTCGGTTAGCCGCCACTGGACCGCCGCACGCGGAGACGCGTTCACGTTCCCACCGCCCGCAACAAAAACAGCAATTTAAAAGAAGAAATAAGATACTACAAGTTTTTTTGCTGTTTTTTTTTTTGTGGGCAGGACCGCGCGACCCGCGTGTTATCAGCGGCACGCGCCGTCCGCCGACCCCTGACCCCGTCCTGGCTATCGCGGTCGCACGCCGAGGCTAAGCGGTGTCGGCCGGGAACCAAAACGAGAGGCGGAAGCTGGGGAAGCGGATATCAGTCAGAAAGAGAGACAACGAGAGAGGCCCAGAGAAGTTCAGAGAGACTCAGAGAGGTCCAGAGAGGTCCAGAGAGACTCAGAGAGGCCCAGAGAGGTCCAAACTCGAGAGGTCCAGGAGGTCCAGAGAGACTCAGAGGGGCCCAGAGTCCAGAAACCAGAGTCCGAGGCCAAGAGACTCAGAGAGGCCGAGGGTAAGGGGACTAGAGGCCAGAGAACAAGAGACTCAGAGAGGTCGGACAGCTGAGGAAGTCCAGAGAGACTCAGAGGCCCAGAGAAGTTCAGAGAGACTCGAGAGAGGCCCAAGAGTGAGAACGGGTTCCAGAGAGACTCAGAGAGGCCCAGAGAGGTTCAGAGAGACTCAGAGAGGCCCAGAGAGGTTCAGAGAGACTCAGAGAGGTCCAGAGAGGTCCAGAGAGACTCAGAGAGGCCCAGAGAGGTCTCCGTGGGTCTCCGGCCCGGCGCCGTGGTGGGGCGGCGCGGCGCGCGTGGCGAGGGGGCGGGCGGGCGCGGCGATGGGCGGGACCTGCGGAGGTGGCCCGTGGTGGGGGCAGCCGCCGCGCCCGCCTCGCGCCCCGCCTCGCGCCCTCGCGGCCCCGCGGCCCGACCCGGCGAGGCGTCGCGACGCCGTGCTGGCGACGCCTCCGCGCGCCGATTGCTCACCCGACCCCCACTAGAAGTAGAGGCGCCCGCCGCCGCGCCGCGCTTGGAGTCCCGGCGCTGCACACCCCTCAGGTCGTTTTGTTTCATTTCACTCCGCATTTCGTTTTTCTTTTTCCGATTGCCAGCCCAGCCTGCGCTGCGGCGTTCGCGGCGGCGTCTCGCTTCGTTTTCCCTCCAGATGTCCCTCCGCATCCCTCGTTAGCGGCTCCACTATACTTGTCCGGCGGAATGCCCTGCAGCCTGCTTGCAGCATGCCGTGCCCTCGCCGCGCCGTCTCTCTCGCACTCGTGGGGCGTCCCGTGAGGGTGCGAGAGAGACAGAGCGACGAGTGCTCGTGCTCGGCCTGCTCGGTGCGACCGATAAACAGAGGTTGGCGAGCAGCGCCACACAGGGCGCGGTGCGGCGCGGCCCGCTGCACACCAGTCACTCGGCCAGCTTCACGGCGGCCGGCCAGGCCAGCCCCCTCGGAGTGGTGGTCATTTGGTCATCAGCGCGCCGCACCAAAATACCCCCTGGCCTGCCTGCCCGGCCTGCCTACCAAGTACCACGCCGGAGTGCCACTTCGGGAACTATTGCGGCCTGCTGCTGCTGCCGCCGCGCGGAGTGCAAAAAAAGAGTGCAGCGCCCCGAAGAAGTACGGCGAAATGTAGTACTTGGGATATTCCCGTAAAGCCTCGGTTAAAAAAAATGCAGACAACGAAAGTTTTTTTTTTTTTTTTTGAATTCCAGAGTAAGGGAAACGAAAAGCCACCTACCTCAGCAGTGGCCAAATGCGAACACCACGACACGGACGCACTTGCGGAGGCCTTTCGGGCGGCGACTATTCCAAAGTGTTTATTAGCAGAGAGTGTGCGTATGAGAGAGAGAGAGAGAGAGAGAGAGAGAGAGAGAGAGGAGAGAGAGAGAGAGAGAGAGAGAGAGAGCTGCGGGTAGCCGCCTGATGGAATTATTAAGGCATTTCGCAACCGCCGTGCATGTCCGGGTGCCCGCGTGCTGCAGGCGGTCTGCAGGCGGTCTGCAGGCAGTGTCTCAAAAGTGCCATGCGCGGCTAGGAAGTCGGAGACGCTGCCGCCTCGCCGCCTCGCGGCCGCAGCAGCGAGGACCTCATG